CAATCTTCTTCAGATGGTCCACTCCATCTGTTGCCCGTCATTGGTCTTCTAAGTGACCTCTTGGCATGTCTGTTTCGTTCATCTTTTTGATTCCTTTGTAAAGGATTCTTTCGTTGATGCACAGAACGATTTTGCCTCTAATTGACATTCGGATTTACCCTCATTTGGTTAATTCTTGTAGGCTGACCCTTTTGATAGTATAGACTAGGTTTATTATCTTTCGGTCCATTCCTTTTGACATTTGCATTATGTCTAGGATTGCCTTCCAAGAATCTTCTTTTTGGAGGTTCTGATCTACAACTCGTTGTACAGCCTTTCCTTTTGATTGGCTTGTTGGTTGTGGTTTACTTCCATTATTAATCAGTGTCATAGGCTCAGACATTTGGGTACGGCCTTGAACAAATACAGACTTAAAACTTTCATGTGAGTAATTTTCTATAGATTTATTCAACAAGATATGTGATGAGGAGCCGGGGTCGTAACCAATTCCGGTTCTTTCCCCTGGCGGTTTTGATCCATTCATTAATCGATCCATTAGATTGGATGAATTGTTAAACGAATCAAGAACCTCACGCAGATGTTGCTCCCGTAACTCTCTTTCTGTACACTGCTCCTTTAGAAGAAGAACCTGTTTCTCAAGCTGATCAATGGCGATGGCTAGCTTAATGTTACTGATTCTATCCCGCCTTAGCTCATCGTAGCTGATCAATAGCCGAGAGTTCTCTTCTTTTAGTTTGGAGTATGTGTTTTTTATTACCTTGAAATCCATCATCATCTCAAAGATAGTTTCATTTGGATTTCCTTTACTTTCAGAGCTGGTTTCTATGTGGGTAGATGAGAAGGTTCGAGAGTTTACCTCATCATCATTGGCCATTAGACATAGATCATCTACATCTTCCTCTTGGCTGAACAGACATAAGAGTCCCTTTTCATCGTCTGAACTTTCACTCTCTGAACTAGAGCTTGAAGAGCTACTTTCAGGTTCAGCTGATTTGATTGATTCATTTACAACCATTGCTTTCCTTCTCCTTTCGTGTCGTGGTTGACTTGACTCTTGTTTACCACCTCTTTTGCTGGTTTCAACAGCATCTTTCTGTGAACTCATGCTATGTTCCTGGTCCTGGCATTTGCGGACCATAGGATGAGGAAAATTCTCTTTGAAATGTCCTGGCTTTCGACAGTTGTAGCATAGCACTTGTGCATCCACTGTTTCTTGCCTTGGGGATTGAGGTGTTCTTTCGGAGTTCCTTTGGTTGGAAGATCTTGGGAACGTTTGAAGTTCTTGAAAGTTGTTCTTCCTTATGAACCTTTTAAATTTTCGCACAAACAAGGCAAACTGTTCGTCAGATCAGAATTCAGAAGGGTTAGAGTTTGACCTGCTTGTGGTTGAAGGTTGTTGACTTGCAACTAGAGCGATATTCCTCGTTTCTGATTCCTCAGATTATTTGGGCTCATGCTCGAATTCATAGGCCTTGAGATCACTGAAAATTTTAGTCGTTTGAGTGGTCTTCAAGTCTCGGTAATCTCTCATGGTTGTCACCTTCATCTCCCATGACTTGGGAAGTCCTCGAAGTATCTTCAGATTTGTTTCCTTTTGAGTCAGCTCTTTTTCGAGATCTGAAATATCTCCAAGAAGTTTCGCCTGAGCACCATCTTAGTGATTGTTTCGGTCGGAACCATTTTGAAGTTTTCAAACTTCTTCATGGCCATCGTGAGCTTATTATCTTTCTCCTGCTCATCACCCTCTCCTAATCTCATGAGAGTGTCCCAAATCTCCTTCGCGGATTTGCATTTTCACACTCTTGGAAATAGCGAGTCATCTAGATATTTGTAGAGGATGTCTCGTGCAACATTGTCGAGGTTTGCTCTCGTCCTTTCTTCAGGTACAAGTTGAGACTTTGGTTTTGGGATCATTGCATCAGCATCTGCTCCGTGAGTGGCTGCTTGTGCATTTACCATCATTATCACTATGGGTCCCTCCTCTATGACGTCTCACATCTCATCGTGGATAGCCGAGAGGTATGCCTGCATCCTGACCTTCCAATCATCAAACTTAGAGAGATTAAAGGCAAGAGTCCTAAAGCGATTAGCATGATCCTTTTCCATATTTCTTTTAAGAAAAGATGTGCAAAGTTGAAAAGATATGATTTTCAAATGAAATTTTTCAAAACGGATCTACCAAGCAGTAAATCGAAACGTTTACCGTACAAGGTAACCGCACTGATACCACTTATTGGTCCTGGTAGGGTCGAAAGGAGAGTTTATATGGGGGGTGAATAGACTCTACTCGATTTTTCAGAAAAACTCCTTTCGAAGTGATGCACAACGGAATAACTTGTTTGTTTTAATTTGAACTTTGCACAATTTCGATATGAAAAGTTATCGTTGGGTCAGTATGAAATGCAATGCATGAAAGATAATCAACGGAAAGTAAAGAGAGATAGGGAGAGAGATTTTTATAGTAGTTCGGCTGTTAGCAAAGCCTACTCCACTCTTCTTTCACAACTTGTGAAAGGGTTTGCACTATCACTCCTAGTACAAACTACTTCAAGCTAGCTTCCTTGATCACTAAGCCGGACAACTACTTGGTAGGTTTTTCAACTCCTCGAGTTTACTACACATCTATCAACTTCTTCCTCAGAGTTGAGTGTTGGAAAGATGATGTTCTGTTTCTCCAACAGGTTGAAGTCTTGTCTTGTTGACTAGATGAATCTTCACGTGAGAAAAGATGCAAGACTTCTTCAAGTTTGTGAAGTGTAGATGTAGGATGAACCTCTTTGAAAAACTTCACAAAAGTACCACGTTGATTATGAAAAGCTTATGAATGAGCTTGTTTAAAGAGCTTTTCTAAGGATAAAATCTGTTGAAAAATCAGCACCTTCTTCAATGGTGAAGAGAGGTATTTATAGGTGAGGAAAAATTCATCCGTTGGAGGGAGATGAAATTTTGAACCTATAACCAGCGGGTAATAATTAACCAGTGGGCATAGAGCATTTAATTTGGTTGTACTATGTAGCCGTTGATGATAAAAAGCACCATGATATGGCTTTTTGTCCTTTCTACTGACAAGATGGTACCAATCATTTAATGTTCCTTGGTTTTGTGAATATCATTCATAGGACACCTTTTGTCTAGGATGATTGCCCAGCTGAGAGACATAGACAACATTCTTCTTGCTTCACTTAATAAAAGTTGTCTTTAAAAATCTGACTTAGACTTGTTGTCTCGGAAAGGTTACTTCGAAAGATAGACCTTATCTTTCGTCCTTCCTTGTCATTTAATGATTGTCCGAGAGTTAGACCCTTCCATCTTTCGGTCTGAGTTGATCTCTCGTTCTTCTCTTGTCTTCATATCTTCAAGTAGACCTATCATGCTAGTCTCAACTAAGTCTCGTGCAAATCATTCGTTGAGTTGCAATAACTTTCGTTTGCAATGAAAGTTCTAAAACAAAATGAAAATAAGGGTCTACTATCTTAGCAAGTTTGATATCATCAAAATCTAATTACACTTGTTCCTAACAAAGTATGATGAATAGCAGTATCAGGAAGAAGAAGAAGATTATGAATTTATGGTGAATGGCAGTATACAGATAAGGAAGAGTCAGAAGAAGATGGATAGGATGTATGAGGCTATTCTAGCTACATATGGCTTTGCCTTCCATTTTCAATCTAGAATTTTCCACTTTTTGGTTATATGTATTTGAACTTTTAAGTCATTGTCTTTCATTTGCTGAGGTAAATTAACTTTCCTAATATTATCTACTTCGTATCAATCTTAACTAAGAGAGTCCTAATGGTTCATTTTTAATTTGTTTACAATTTTCCTCTTTGGGTAGACCCTTGAAGAACTCTAAGAAATTTTTAAAAAATGTTTTGCCAAATTTTTGTATGTGCATCTCTACCAACGTAACTACTATGTAGTGTAATGAAATTGTGCCCGCATGGGCAGCTCAACTGGTAATAGAGGTGAAAGTTGGAAAGAGTATAATGAAATTGTTGTTACCATTTCAAATTGATAGTCACAAGATCGAATCCAATATGATGAAGCATACTCAGCATACTTAGCTACCCTCAATCAAGGAGGTCTTTAGTGTCATTTTCCCTCCTTCCCTTTTCTGTTATAACTGCCAATGCAGTGTGTATATAACAATTGTTATCCTTCCTTTTCAAGCTAAGTTTTGTACTCTTCTCAGATCATCAATAATGCACACCATCTTCCTTTCACTGATTATCACTTTACAACTCATGAATAATTGAGTTCTCCACATGGTATCAGAGCTTCGTCGAAGCTACGCTGCCGTCACAACGATGAACACCGGAAACAATTCTGCCGGAATCGGAAACACATCTCCAAATCAGAACACGGCGAGTCAAGGTCCGAATCTGCGAGGATATGAAGTCGATGATCCACTCTACCTTCACGTGACTGAGAATCCTAACATGATTCTCGTCTCTCCTCCTCTGACAGAGCTCAACTATGCTTCATGGAGCCGATCCATGAAGATAGCCTTGCAAGTGAAGAACAAGTTTGGTCTAGTTGATGGCTCAGTTCCCTGTCCAGAGCAGTCAGACTCCAGGTTTGCTACCTAGACGAGATGCAACAAAATTGTCTGTTCATGGATCCTTAGATCCGTTAATTCCACCATTGCTGAGACAGTCCTCTATTATGAGAAAGCAGAAGACATTTGGATCAAGCTCAGAGATAGATACTCACAAGCTGATCCACATAGGATAGCTGAACTGCAGAATGAAATATACAAGAATACTCAAGGTAACAAGTCTATAAATGAATATTTTACAAAGTGTAATGCTCTATGGGAGCAGATGAAGGCAATGAGGCCTCTGCTAGTGTGTGAATGTAACCCTAGATGTTCATGCAAGCTGCTAAGCAAGATACAAAAGGAGAAAGAAGATGATCAAGTCATCAGGTTCCTAGAGGGATTGAATGATGAGTTTGAATCCATAAAATTATGAGTCCTAGTTAGGGATCCAATCCCAACTATGGAGAAAGTCCTCAATATGGCTCTGAAAGTGGAAAGGAAAATAAATGGATCTCTCAATCAAAGGAATATTGAAGTGCTTCAATCCAATGCAGTCCAAAACAGTCAAGGACAGTCCACAGAAGACAGTGGAACTGTGGCCTTCTCTGCTTCAAATAACAAGAAGAAATTTGGCAACAATGGAGGAAAGAATGTGGCCAAATGCACATACTGCAACATGAGTGGCCATACTGTTGAGAAATGCTTTAAGAAGCATGGTTATCCTCCTGCTTGGATACCAGGATACAAGTCTAGAAACAGGCAAAACCAAGATGCTCAGAGCAATGCTGTCAATCAGATTGGGGACATAGGGCTATCTGCTGAGCAATTCCAGAGACTTGTGAGCCTGTTGCATGGTCAGAACCAAGAGAAACCAGCCTCCTCAAATGCAACCATAACAATGAACAACTATGAAAAGAAATCAGGATCTAATGAAGGCAAGTTCATATCTGATCGCCACATTAATAATGTCATATCTTCTTCTGCTATATGGATTTTAGATTCAGGTGCTACTGATCACATTACATGCTCATTAGACTATTTTGAAAGGTATCACAGGGTTTGTGGAGTTTCTGTTAAATTGCCCAATGGAGGAACTGTAAGTGTGACACATATAGGTGATATCAGACTGCAGTTAAACCTACTGCCCAATGGAGGAACTGTAAGTGTGACACATATAGGTGATATCAGACTGCAGTTAAACCTACTGTTAAACAATGTGTTGTTCATCCCTTCATTCACATTCAATATTATCTCTGCTAGCAAGTTAACTAAACAAGGGGCTTGCAAAATCATAATGAATTCTGACTCCTATAACATTCAGGGTCCTTTTGGGATGATGGATGGTTTTACTGAACAAAGGAATGGCTTATATGTGATCACTGATCCACCAAAGAAAAGGAACTGTCAGATTGATGAGATGATGGAAAGCAATAGTGTATCTTTGCATTTGTGGCATTATATACCCCAACAAAATGGGGTGGCAGAAAGAAAGCATCAACTTTTCTTAAGTGTAGCTAGGGCTCTCAGATTTCAGTCTGGAGTGCCTATGGAATTTTGGAATCATTATGTTATGCATGCCATCTACTTAATTAACAGATTACCTCCTGCTAAACCTGGTGAGAAGTCACCCTTTGAATTCTTATTTGGCAGAACTGTGGAATATCATCACCTCAAAGCTTTTGGGTGCTTGTGCTTTGGATCTACTATGTCTCATGGCAAAAGTAAAATGGAACCAAGAGCCAAGAAGTTTCTATTTCTGGGGATCCCTGCAAATGTAAAAGGCTATGTGTTATATGACATTGCTAACAAACATGTTTTTATCTCCATGGATGTTCAGTTTTATGAGCATATCTACCCCTTTAAGGAGGACAAATCAGAAGCTTATGATGAAAAGAACATGTTTGATCCTGTGCTGCCTTTGGTTCCAGTCTCCATTGAGGTTAGCATACCACCTTTGGATACTACTGCAAATCAAAATCAAGTACTAGGAGAAGCAGCCACTCCCAGTCTTTCAATTCACAACACTGAAGCACCAGAAAGGGCTAGCAGGTCAAGTCCCTTACCCTACAACATTGACAGTGTGGATACTTATGTCAGCACAAACAATGAATTTTCAAATGAGACAGGTGGTAACACAATGATACAAGATGAAGCAGTTCAAATAGATGTACACTTAGAACCAAGAAGATCAGAAAGAACAAGACACATACCTACAAGGTTACAAGATTACTATTGTCATTCACTGAGTACAGGCAGTCACCACAGCAGGTCATCACCACATTCAATTAACAAGGTGATATCATATGAGGGTCTATCCCCAAGCCATAGGGTCTGTGCAAACTCCATTCTGACCATACAAGAGCCACAATCATATAATGAAGCAGTTAAAGAAGAGGCATGGAGGAAAGCAATGCAATGTGAAATAGATGCATTGGTTGAAAATAAAACTTGGGTGCTTACAGACCTCCCACCAGGCAAAACCCCAATTGGTTGCAAATTGGTGTACAAGGTGAAACATAGAGCTGATGGTTCCATAGAAAGACACAAGGCTAGACTGGTGGCAAAGGGCTACACTCAGCAGCTAGGAGTGGACTATGTTGAAACATTTTCTCCTGTGGCTAGAATGACAACAATTAGAACCTTCCTAGCTGTAGCAGTTGCAAAAGGATGGGACATCAAACAATTAGACATCAATAATGCTTTTTTGCATGGAGATCTAGACGAGGAAGTATACATGATTTCACCCCCTGGTTTTCAAAATAACAAGCAGCAAGTTTGTTAGTTGCTGAGATCTTTATATGGCCTAAAGCAGGCTAGCAAGCAGTGGAATGCTAAATTGACTAAGGCATTGCAAGATAATGGTTTCCAACAATCCACAGTAGATCCATCCCTATTTACCAAAGCATCAAACCATTTATGGCCCTTCTCATCTATGTAGATGATATATTGGTTGCAGGGACAGACTCAGCACAGATTGATAGGTTGAAACAGTTCTTGGATAAGACATTCAAGATCAAAGATCTTGGACATTTGAACTACTTTCTGGGGATTGAAGCATTTATATCCACTGATGGTCTCAACATTTGCCAAAGAAAATATACTTTAGAAATCCTAAAGGAGTATGGCTTCATGGATGCTAAACCTGCAAAGACTCCCATTACTGCAGGCCAGAAACTCAGTTCTCTTGAAGGAACACCCCTTGATAAGCCAGAAGTTTATAGAAGACTGGTTGGAAAGCTGTTATACTTGACAAACACCAGGCCTGAAATCACATATGCAGTTCAGCAATTGAGTCAGTATGTTGACAAGCCTAGGAACACTCATCTTATGGCTGCTCACAGAGTGTTGAGGTACTTGAAAGGGTCTCCTGGAAAAGGGATGTTTTATCCAGCAAACTCTCAGATCAAGCTACAAGGGTTCTCTGACTCTGATTGGGCTACTTGTGCAGAAACCATGAAGTCGGTTACAGGCTATTGCATTTATTTTGGCAAGTCCTTAATCTCTTGGAAGACAAAGAAACAAGCTACTGTCTCTAGATCATCTTCTGAAGCTGAGTATAGGGCCCTTGCATCCACTGTTTGTGAGGTCCAATGGCTCTTGTATTTGCTTGCAGATCTGAAAGTCAAGCCTAACAGCCCTACTACTCTATTCTGTGATAACAAATTTGCAATTGCTATTGGAGAGAACTATGTCTTTCATGAAAGAACTAAACATATTGAGATAGATTGCCATGTTGTTAAGCAGAAAGTGTATGAAGGGGTTATAAAGCTAATGTCAGTTCCATCACAAAAAACAACTTGTTGATGGCTTCACCAAGGCACTGCCAATATTGTTGTTTGACAACTTCCACTCTAAGCTGGGCCTTCAAGATGTTCATGCTCCAGCTTACGGGGGGTGATGAAGCATACTCAGCATACTTAGCTACCCTCAATCAAGGAGGTCTTTAGTGTCCTTTTCCCTCCTTCCCTTTTCTGTTATAACTGCCAATGCAGTGTGTATATAACAGTTGTTCTCCTTCCTTTTCAAGCTAAGTTTTGTACTCTTCTCAAATCATCAATAATGCACACCATCTTCCTTTCACTGATTATCACTTTACAACTCATGAATAATTGAGTTCTCCACACAATAGTAGAGACATTGATTCTTTGGGCAGAAAGAATTGAAAAAAAGTATAAAATACATACTACCTTGTAAAAATCATAAGTATTTAAAATAAAAATAAAAATTGTTGTATGTGCATCTCAACAACTCTAGAAAGTATTTTGAGTGCTTTGCAATATTGAATATTGATTGTCCCGAAGCGTTTTATGCGTGCTGAGATCAATGCACTACCAACACAATTAGAATACATTTTTGTTTTAAAAATCTGGACTCGACTAAATCTGTATTTGCAAAATTTAACTCTACAACTTTACCGTTGTATTAGTATTCTGTTTATTAATTCTCTCAAGTTGCTAAGTTGAATAACTTATTGCTTTAGAGTTGATAGCATTCTGCCTACCTTTGCAACCAATTGATATACTAGCTTGAACATTGAAATTTATACTAACTAGTGTATACCTAGGGCAATGTCCTAGAGCCTAGAGGTCTTTATTAAATGCTAACAAAAAAAGTTTTATAATAAATTGTTTTTTTTAAATATACTACTTGAATCATATTATATGTGTTCATGTTAATTGATTGAATTATTTATATATTTAGTTGAAATATAATTAAAAAAAAAATTAATTCTGTAATTGTTAAAAAATATATTGTTTTTGATAAATAATGTTTTTGTGGTAAATTAAGTTAATTCAAACGTAATATAATATTTACACATATTAAAGATATCATTTTTTTGAATGTTACTGGCTCTATTACAATGTAGTATCTATTCATATACTTTCTCAACCTACTGAAACAAAAAAAAAAACAAAAAAAAAAAAACAAAAAAAAAAAAAATCAATAACGCCTCCACTGAGACTCGAACTCACAACATTCCAAATAAAAATCCAACCCAAATACCATTAGACCACATAATCCTAGTATATCATAATTAAACATTTTACTAATAACCATCAATCATGTTTTGGAATATACGTGAAATTAGATGAATTAAACATGAATATGATGAATTAACAAAAATCTATTTTAATTTGCTTAGTTTGTGTGTGCATATATTGACAAATTATACTATGGACCGTAATCCACATACAATATAAACTACGATTAGATGTTCATTTTTAATATACTGAAAGTTTATTTTTTTTTTAATATACTTAAAAAAAATATTGAACCCATGAACCAAACACATCTTAAGAGTTTTTATGAATCAACTAGCACTCGGTATACGATAATGTTTGATTTATTCGAGGGGTACGTAAATAAATTTATAATTTAAGAATTTTATAAATCATTTAACACCCGATTTACAACAATGTTTGATGTATGAGGTAAGAGTTTTTTCCATTTTTGGTCCTATGACTTTAGTGCCTCCGTCAATTTAGGTTCACAACTTCCGTTCTTGACATAAGTGGTGTTTGACTTTGATTTTTTTTCCACTTTTAGTCCTTCCGGTCATCTGAGTGACTACTTTTAATCGGAATAAATAAATTGTCATTTATATTTAGATTTAAGAGGGGTAAATAAGTCCTTTACCATCTCTTAAAAAAAAAACAAAAGAAAAAAGAAAAATAAAATTAAGCTATGTAATTATCCTCTTCTTCCCGTATCTTCTCCCTCTCTTAATGGACGGCTCTCGTTCATGTATTTTTGAATCCCCTGTCCACCATTGCAATAGACTGAAATATACTTCCTCCAATCCTCGGGACGTATCCTTGGACTTCAACCTCTTCAGCTACGCTTCTCCTGGCGACAAGAACTTCTCCTTGTTCTACGTTACATCCCGGTTTCATTGGTTTCCAACCTCTTGAACTGTAACTCGACCGGAAATGGGTTCTGGTCGCCCAGTACAGGATTGCCCAATAATAATAACATCAAGTGCGGGTTTGAGATCTTTGTTACTATCACTCAAGAAGCTTTTGAGACTTTAAGTAATGCTTCTAGTATTATTCCAGTATTTTTGTATATATTGGAACGATATGGTGAGAGCTCAAGCGCATTGGAAATGGCGATCATGAAAGTTGAAACAGTATCAAGAGAGCTCGTCAAACCCTCTTCTTCTTCTTCTTCTTCAAGACTCCATAAACTGTGTCTCCATATAGCGATAATCCCAAAAATACATGAACTAGAGCCGCTTACAGTAAGAGAGGGAGAAGATACGGGAAGAAGAGGATAATTACATAGCTTAATATTTTTCTTTTTCTTTTGTTTATTTTTTAAGAGATGGTAAAGGACTTATTTACCCCTCTTAAATCTAAATATAAATGACAATTTATTTATTCCGATTAAAAGTAGTCACTCAGATGACCGGAAGGACTAAAAGTGAAAAAAAATCAAAGTCAAGCACTACTTATGTCAAGAACGAAAGTTGTGAACCTAAATTGACGGAGGTACTAAAGTCATAGGACCAAAAGTGGAAAAAACTCTATGAGGTAAATAAATTTATAATTTAAGAGTATTATAAACCATGCTTGTGCAAATGGAACAAAACCTATCCAAGAATATGGTGGAGATACGTGCAGTTCTAGTTGACGGCATGTGCTAATTAAGTGAATTCAATCTTTGACGGCTTTTAATTGATAAAATATTTACTTTAATTAATTTCCTCCTAAAAATTATGTATCAATCTCTTCTAGCTATTTAGTGCTCTAAATGAGTGTTCAATTTCTTTGTAAGCTATTGGGCAACGAGAGTTTTACCTTTTGGTTAATGTGTGCATTAAAATATCAATAAATTAAAGTTATATTGACAAAAAAATTTACAGTATCTAACGTGACATTTATTTTATATATACTTACTAAGTGTTTACCTGCAATGAACTAAGGTTGCGTTCGGTTGGAGATGCTTGTACTCGCGCGCTCTACTATCAGATTTGATATCCATTGTCATTATATTTGTTTGTCTACTTTTACCCTACGTATATGTACTATTCTACTATTGGATTCAAATCCTTTAGTAATTATAAAATTTATTATTCTTCTCCCCCCTACTATTGGATTGTGTTGTATTCACTTCTCTCATTGCAACAATATAATTCAGCTTGAATTTTTTAAGTGTATTTATGAAAAACCAGTGAAATTCAGGAAGATATATAATTTCACCTCCAATTTTAGTTTATTGGGCATTTTTGTATTTTGTATCGCATGTGCATGTTACAGGTACATGTGCTTCCTCGAGCACCTATTATTGAACATTTTTGTATCATATCGTGCAGTGCATTGCATGTGCTTCTAACTAGCTAGTAAACAAAGAAAGAGTAATATATTAATTAGGTAGTCTCCACTTTATACTAAAATATATTATTGATGGGTACTGATAAGACGAAACATGTGCATCCCATATTGCAATTGCGCGCACTTCTTCTTCTTCTTCTACATTCTTTTCTTACTCAAAAACCCAGAATTGAATTGAAGTTGCAGAGAGTTTGAGAGATGGCTTGTGTTGCATTGACTTCTCTCATGGCTACTATTGAGCTTGAATTTTTGCATCCCAACCACAGAGTATCTCTTGATGATGAGAAGCCATTGAAATCTCTGCTTCACAAGCTTTCTTCATTGGAAGCCTTTGTGAAGAAGGAATACAACAACGCTGTGGGTAGTGGTGCTCCAATCCGACGACATCTGCTAAACAAAATCAGAGACTTTGCACTCAAAGTTGAAGATGCTATCGAAATACAACTCACAAACATCCTTCAACTTCAACAGAAAGCTCATCAAGGGGAACTCCATCTCCATCTCCATCGAAGCTTGCAACAAGTAGCAAAAGAGGCTGAAGAGTTGCTGAAGGTTATCAACCATCATTCTCTTCCGTTGATTGGTTGCTCAGAAGCTGCAGCTTCTTCGCACCCTCACAACATTATTGCGTCGTCAGGTGGATCCTTGCAATGCTCTCCTCAGTTTGAGGAGGAGGATATAATAATGGTTGGTGAATACTTTGACTATCACCTTAAATGGACAAGGGAGGATCTCGTTTATTTTTATTCATCAGAACGAATAGTAGTCACAATTGTTGGAGCCCCAGGCATTGGAAAGACTACTCTTTGTAAAAGACTGTATACAGATGAAAGGGTTGTATCACATTTCGACATTCAAGCTTGGATTACTATTCCGCCAAGATACAATGGGAATGTGCAACAACTACTGTGCCACCTTCTTCAATCAATACGGCCAACCCTCAATGAAGAAATTCACATGGGAAGCACTGTTTCTCAACTAAAAGACCAACTGCACAGACACTTGAAGAAATGCAAAAGATATTTAATTGTTTTGGATGATGTCCCTAACACTCTGCTTTGGGATGATATCCACCAATGTTTTCCCGATGACTCGAATGGAAATCGGATATTGATAACCACTCTTTTTAATGATGTGGCTGAGTACATCAGCAAGGATTGGGAATTCATCAAGAGTCTGCCTTACCTAGATGACGATGAGAGTTGGGATTTATTTTCCCACAGATTTTCTCTTAAACAACATATGACACCTAAATTTGAAGAAATTGCGAAGAATCTTGTTGAGGAATGCAGAGGATTGCCGCGCTCAATTGTTGTAGTTGCAGACCATCTATCTAAATGCAACTACACATTGAAGGAATGGAAGAAGATAGAGAAAGAATTACTATCATTGGGAATTTTGCATAGAGATACACAACACTCAAGTAAGCTTACCAACATTTACAATCGTTTGCCGCAACATTTAAAAGTTTTCTTTTTATATTTTGTGGTCTTTCCAAAACACAGTGAAATGAGTATTAAAAGACTTATTAAGTTATGGATTGCTGAGGGATTTGTAAAGCCACTGGGGTGTCTGCCATTAGAAGAAATAGGTTACATGTATTTTAGGGCTCTTAAAAGTAGAGGACTAGTCGTAACAGACGATGAGCACGATTTCAGACCAAAGATGTGTGAGATACATATTGACATGCATAGCTTCTGCGTACGAGAAGCTCAAAAAGAAGGTCTTTTATGTGCAGCAAATACTCAACAGTGTATTGGATGGTCATTAGACATACTTGCAAATTCCTGTCGCTGGTTAAGTTTACGCTCACATAGTTTGGACTATCATGTGTTGTTTAGTTCAAATATTCCTCGCTCTCTTTTCGTCTTTCAGGGAGGTTTTGAAAGGTTTATACCTTTGAAACATTTAAGAATTTTAGATTTGAGTAAATCTATAATACTCAAAAGAGTGTCATTATTGCCCTTAAGGAATTTAGTTTTTTTAAGATATCTTTCCATACCACAGTGGTTTGAGAGTTTTGATGATGTAGTATTAAGTAATTCAAATTTGCAAACACTTACTGTTTCTGGAATTGATGAATCAACACTTGGAGCACGTACTCTTCATTTATTGCCATCCAAAACTTGGGAGCTGCAACATTTAAGGCATCTCAAATTTGGGGATATGTATATGATAGATCCCCCGAACATGGTTATAGAGCATTTGCAAACATTAGTTTGTGCAATGCCAATTCATTTGAGGAAAAAAGAAGTGTACTATTGCAGGTTTCCAAGCATAAGAAAACTGGAAGTTGTGTATAAAGACGTCTTAGTGCCTGGTTGCAGCGGGGGGCGATGTTGCAGAAATCCTATCATCATTCTGGAGAATTTTGAAGATTTATTGAGGTTGGAAACTCTAACGGTTATGGTTCCAGTTGGTAGTATAACCCTTTTAGAGCGGGTTGGTTTTCCTGCAAAATTGAAGAAGTTGAGGTTGAGTGGGACTAATTTTCCAGTGAAGGTTTTAACGTTAATTGGGCAGTTACCTAAGCTTAAGGTGCTGATACTAGAGAATGCTTTCTATGGCAGAGTATGGGAAGTGGTTGAAGGAGGATTCCCTGAATTAAAAGAGTTGGAGGTTGAAGCCAGAAATCTTGAGCAATGGGTAGCCAATACTAGTAATCATTTCCCAAAGCTCAAGAAGATATTCTTAAAACATTGTTATTCTCTAGAAGAGATCCCTCCTACAATTGCAAAAAAGACCTCTTTGTGGTTAATTACGTTAGAACAATGTCCTCCTTCTGTTGTCACTTCTCTACGAGAGATGGCCGTACGTTACAATATTGTTGACCGCAAGAATTTGTGGGTATGTTACGTTCCATTTGTTTCTCTTTCATTCTTTTGTTTATTTTCTTTGCAAAATCTGTTTAATATTTTCTTTTTCTCACCTGGTATATTGATCCACTTGCTATGATGAATCGCAGTATTCAGACACGGAAGAATTAGAAAAATCAGAAGAAGAAGACCAGGTGAGGCAGCTTAATTTAATATACACACACTTGGATTAATTGTTTGCATGTTCAGTATTCATATTTGGCCTGCTCTATATATATATATATATATGTGTGTGTGTGTGTGTGTGTGAAGGGACTAAAAAATGTACTCAATAATATCAGGAAGAATAAGAAGAGTATGATGAATGGCAGTAGGAAGGGGAAGAAGAAGATCGAAGAGTATGATCCAACAGATAAGGAAGAGTCACAAGAAGGATATGATGTAATAGATCTAAGAGACTATCAATGGTTCATTTTTGTTTACACTTTTCCTCTTCTTGAACCCTTGAAAAAGTTTGCAAAAAATTCTAAAAAAATATTCTCCCAAATTTGTTATATATATATATATATATATATATATGCATCTTTGCCCACTACTATGTAATGTGATGAAACCCTTGTTACAATTTCAAATGGATAGTCACAGGATCAAACGCTAGTGGAAATATTGATTCTTTAAATTGAAAAGATTAAAAAGTTATAGAATAGATACTACCTTTGTCACGCCCCACTTCTAGGACATGACCCAGACATACCGTTACATGAAAACCTATAACAATATGAATCCTAACCATACACATATACCTCTCGAAACCTTCATAGCAACACTTGAATACATAATAATTCCACGACCCGAAATGGTAAAATATAAAGAACGTCGTTCTTCCCAAAAACTCATCAATTCACCACTATTAAATATTTACAATCAAGAGTAGTATGTCTAAAATACATCACAAGCACCAAAAGCCAAGCACAATAGGTTACCAAAAATATAAAGGGTCAAATTAAAGGTATTGTCTAAAACGCACAAAAATCCGTGGTAAGCTCCAATACTAGGACTAAGTCTCGTAGTTTCAAAAGTCACCTTCAAGACCCACCACCTGTGCTCGTGCTATTCACAACTCCTTAACTACTCTGAAACATGAGGAAATACAAATAATGAGTTAATGCTCAGTAAGTGATACTCCTCTCAACCCCGGATCAAGTAACCCCAATAGAATACAAAAAGCTTTAGCGTAATAAATAGATTGGATGCAAAACTCAATCTTTTAACTATACCAAATTCATATATAATTTTATCATACTGTACACAACTTCCCAAAATTAAAAATTTTAGCTACATGGGCATCAACATTATTTCATAACACAATACTTTCGAAAGCTCAAATCATTCATTAACCAATGACTCATTGGCAACCTACAACCACCATTATATCCTGTGGCACATGCCATTATCGGTATAATGGTCCAAAAAGAATCGACGATTCTGAATGAGTCAGGCTCGACGATTCTGAATGAGCCGGATGGAACGTTCTAACAAATAATTTAAAAGTAAAGTCTCGACAATTCGAAATGAGTCAAGCTCGGTGATTCGGAATGAGCAATTATGAATGTTCTAAGCCGAACAGAACAAACAACAAAATGTAGGTTGCTTCATGAGTTTGGCCAAACCTTCAAAATAATTCTTATAATCAAATAGCTCATTGTAACAAAAATCATTTCCTTAAAAAAATCACTTGACAAAGTATATATCCAAAATAATATGAAATTCGTATAACTCATAACTTCGCAAAACAAATATGAAATCATAAACGAATAATTGTCACATAAATTACTTGATCCTCATTTAGAGCAAAACACCTTAGTAGAAATCATACCCATAAATCGAATAGTAGTGAAATCACACTTTAACAATCATAACTAGCTTGAGTCATATTATATCAAAAGCCCAAAATATTTTAACTCATACTAACCCTAAAATGGGTATTCAAAGTAGTAGAGATTTCAAAATAGGTTATGGGTTTTGCAAAATAAGGAGAGAAGAGTTAACCACTTATCTAAAACATCCAAATCTTAGCTATTTAGCTCACCCAATACTCCTGGTCAAATCTCTAATATTTTCAAACATCAATCTTAGGGCTCCAATGAATAATGATAAACCCACATTAAAAAGAGTGAAATATGGAGGTCAAACTCACCTAGAATACTCCAATAACTTGAGACCTAAGCTTGAAGAGGATGGAGATCAAAACTTCAAGATGATTTTTCCTTCCCCTATCTCTCTAGTCCACTCTCCTTATCTTATTTCAAATGAGATGTTTATCCAAAGACCCAAGTGGTTCTTTAACCTTAAGGGGGCGTTTGGTTCAAGTTATATAACATAACCAAGGAAATGTGACATTCCAAAGCTCACATTCCTATGTTTGGTACGGTTCATATTATCTTAGAGAATCTAACATTCCCAAGGAATGTCACATTCCCTCTACATAGGATTTTGAAGGGAATGTGATTCCCTTCAATTTCTTAGGTTATATAAGATAACCTTGGTTATGTTACTTTATTATATATATATATATATATATATATATATATATATATATATATATATATATATATATATATATTGTAATTATATATTTTCTATTTTTATTATGTTATGTTTGTTAGAAAAATAGCATTAAAATGGAATAAAATGACATATTAAGTGGCTATTTTGTGGTACAATTATCAGTGGGGTCCACTTCCGATTTGGGTCTGGTCAAAGTGGATTCGGGTTCCTCGTAGTGAGACGAAGAGATTGATATATTGTACGCTCAAAACGGATAATGGGTGAATGAGATATTGATTCTCAAAGTAGACCCATTGAGTTGGAAAAATGAAGGGAAAAGTGAGCTTTGTCCCACATTGATTTGGAAAGAGGATTTCACCCCCCTTTTATACAAGGGCTCTTTTGGAGCTTGTAGAATTGTATAGCATAGAGGCTCTCTCGCGCGAGGGGGGGGGGGGGGGGTTGTGCAAATCAAAATCCAACTAGAAGAGATCGAAAAGGCTTGGCCGGCACCTGCGGGCACGAATGTCGTTCGGAAGCCTGATCCAACTAGAAGAGTCGAAAAGGCACCTGCGGGCACGAATGTCGTCCGGAACCCTTGCGGGCTAAGTTATGCCAAACTTCGGTATCATGAGATGTACTCTCGTGTGCAGCAGCGTTAACTCCAGTTTTCATTTTTGAATTTAATTCTGTTAATGGGGTTGCTGTTTCAGATGTTACACAACGTGTAATTAACGCCATGATGAATGCTATTAAGTACTCCTCCCCTATATAAGATAGAGGGCAGGGCAGAAGTGTTTTACACACAATGTGAAACGGGAACAACACACACAACGCAGAAACCTTTGTTTTTCCAGCTCCAAAACTCTGCTCCTACTCCCTTCTTGTAGCTGTGTTCGTCCCATGCTCTAGTTCGCCGGGTTCGTTCGTTTGGGTGCTCAAACGTCGAATCGTTGTACGTTTTATCCTAGGAAACCTAGGCCACAACGCTCCTAGCATTTTTGGGATGTGGCAAATAAGGTTTTAAGGAAAGACAGGCACTTTGCCTAACTCGTACATTTCTTTCTTCTTCTCCTTCTTTCGGTATTTGGATTATGCTTTTAAGCAAAAATCCGTTCTCCATCTTGTGATATTTTTTGGTTGATATATATTGGTATATCTTTTTCGTAGATATACATGTATATATAACCTTTGGGTCCGTTTTATATATATTTGTGTGTGTATATATATATATATATATATATATATATATATATATATATATATATATATATATATATATATATATATATATATATATATATATATATATATTTCGGATAAATATCCAATAATATTTTATATACTCGTGTGTGTATATATAAATATTATTTTACGATATTAAATCGATTATTGGTTCATTATCACCAACAATCTTAAAATCTTATTTATTTTTGATAATGAACAAATCGATGGGTTCCAAAAGTGTGGGATCCGTGAATGTTGCTCGTGGTGCACATTCAAATGGTCAGGACGGCAACGATGTTGCACATTCTGTGATGCCGGTTGACGGCAGCAACGTTGGAAATAATATTTCCATGGGAGTTGTAAAAACACACGATGGTGCTCCGGAGAACTTTGGTTCACGATCCGGTAGACATGTGGCTAATGGCACACAATTGGTACCTATTGTGTTGCCTAATGGATCGGCTAAAAGCCACGAAGGATCCTATAATGGTGTAATGACTACATGGTCTGAGGACTATGGTAGTGTTACAAATGACTTCAACCGTAATCGAAGGAAACTCAAGCGGAAGCTTAGCTTTCAAGAAGATTACGAGAAGAAGGAAAAATGCCACTATGAAGCGAATCGTCATCCTGGTGAAAAGGTTGAGGACAATTTCGCTATGTTTAAAACGTGTTGATGGTTGGACGAGTGAGGTCACAACCGAGGTACCCCCGCTGTGCGCTATGGACCACCCTTTGTGGAGTGGACGGTTGAGAATGGAACAAGGCACACGGGTTCGAAGGACTACTACATAGGAATAATGGAAATTGGTTTCCAATGTAATTTTTCCTATTTATTTATTTGTTAAATAAATGTTGTAGTATCCTTGTGATACATTTTTTATTGTTGAATAAAAAATGAATTGTTCCATTGAGCTATTGAATCATAGTACATACGAATTATTTGCTAGAATAATGTCAAATGTATGAAATAATTCAATATGGGTGCGTAGTGCATCACGGAGCATTATGTGGAAAATGCTAAAATGGCTTAACGGCCGGAACAAAATGTAGCGAGCGTGTTACATGTTGAAATCCCGTAAAGAACTTTGGTTCTGGTTCATGTAGAACGATAAGGATTTCAAGGATCAATTTGTCAAAAATTGGGATAGCTATATAATCGTGAGCGTCACAGCTCAAGTGTTGAATATTTTAATTAATATTATGAGAACGATTATAAAAGTTTGATTCAACTAGTCGGAAAATTTGGTGGATTTGTTCTTGTTAATTGTGTTATAATTAACTTGATCAAAAATTCCAAATTATACTAGCACAAATGGAAAGTGCAATTTAATTTGGCACTTTGAAGTGCAAATTAAAACACTGTAACAGTGCTATTAAGCAATAAGCACTAGGTAGAGTGCCTAATTAGGCACTTTCGGCCACTTGGTGGCTGCACCTTTAGGTGTTGAAAACTTAAGCATTTGGTGCTTTGGTGATAGCAATAAAGGTGCTAGATTATGATTGGTCTTAATGCTAATCTACTTAGCTTAAACATTTCGTATGTGGCTAATTAAATTTAGCGTTGTAAAAAGTGCTATGTGACTAGCACGAAAGGAGGTTTGGTTAATTGTGTAATTAACTAATAATCCTTGTGCTAGGTAGCACTGGAATTATACATTAAGCAACCGAATGTTGCTATGAGTTTATAATTTAAAGCAATAGAGATTGCTTTAGAATC